AGGGATCCAAGGAGTGCAAAAGAACCACAACCCTCCTCCACACACCTCCCTTTCGGCAGTGCTGAGCAGAGCTGTGTTGCAATTGGATCTGACCTGCAATATATAGGCTGGTTTTTGGTTTCCCCTTTTCAGAATACTATATATCTGATCCTCAGTACCATAGTAGTAGAGTGCTTGTCTGGCTCGGTCTGCACACTGTGGCCCCAATTCAGCAAAGCACTTAAGCACAAGTTTAAATGCTCTGCTGAGTAGCGATAGGATTACTCACTTACTTAATCTTAGGCACGTTTTTGAATGCCTTGAATTGGGGCCTGGGTTTGCAGCCTTCAAACATCATTGTAAAAGAAAATGTGATTTGTAAGTTACCCTGGCACCTCAGCCAAGAATCTGAAACCTTAAAATGTTTAATTTGGCTTCTCTAACTTCAAAATGACCGAAAAGATTTTTTTTCTAAACATTAGTAAAAGAAAAGTTTCTGCTTCTTGGCCGAGATACTGTGGGCCAACTTTCGGGGCAAAATATTGCTTTTTGAGAAGGGGATTCTAATGGAAAAGCTGAGCACCAAATTCACACATGGTTCTTTTTTTAAAAGATTATAAAAACCAAAAGCTCTTCCAGATGTGTCTCAGCCGAACATGCTACCATTGATGGTTTTAATCAAAGCAGATTCAGCAACCATTACTGCTGATTCTCCTGTATGTTACTCAACCCAGAAACTGTTGTCTGCAGTATTAAATAAATAAATAAAACCCATCATTTCACAGATTGCACCCTCAGATGTCATTTTGCTGAGCCCAAGTTCATCCAGGCTCCCCGGTTTTACTGAATATTTTCTTTAGATAGTTGGTATAAAATTTTCAAAATTTAGATGTTGTTTTAGCAAGATACACTTGTTGGTAACTGTGTGTGAGAGAGGTAATAGTACTCAAAAGCGTAAACTTGCACACACATATACACATTTTACATGCAGTTACCTTTTGCACATGCCAAAATATACAATTTAAAGAAAAACAGGAGTTGAAACATTTGGAAAAAAGTTAAAGAGCACATACTGGGAAGTGGGATATGACTTTTGTATTACAAAAGCGAGCAGGGGAAAAACAATAGAAAAATCATCAATCAGGCAATGGCTAATGAAATCCCTGAACAATGATGTAATTAGAGTGCATTAATCATTATAAAAGATCCACCCCCCCTTAAACATCTGCTCCCATTCACTTGGCAACAATCTGGGCAGTGTCATGAATAATGGGATTTTGGAGTTCATTGAAGGGTGCGTGTTATTTGAGAAATTGTATAGAGCATCCCAATCTTGGCAGGGATCTGGAACTAAATATTTTTTCCCCCTTCCCAATTTGGTTGTAGAGATTTTAAACTATAAATGAGACAGTTGGATGTCACTTCACAATGGAATAGAAAGCCTGACCAACATACAGTAACCTAAAGGCTTTGCCTGCAGATTTGTCTAATGGATGCACTTTCAATATTTTAAACTTATCCAGTACATTTCAGGACTCTGCCTCCTGGTCACTGGCATTCTTAAAATACTCAGGGACAGATTCTGTATTGTCACTGGGCACAGCAGAGTGGAGTGGTCTGCAAGAAAGTCAGTTACAAGCTCCCTAAGTCCTAGGAGCTGCTCTAACTTGCACAAGATGACAGCAGTTCCCAATGGTTTGCCATCTTTCTGGAGATAGAGCCTATCACACTCTGGCTAGTTCTCCTACCCACCTTGGCATGCCCTCTGGACTAGAGATTGCCAGGATAGAAGTATATGTGCTAGCTATACCAGCTCTCCAACTGCTAAGGTTTCTCCCACTAAGGAAATCCCCAACTGGGGGAATCACAGGAAATCTCCCCTCCCTTTAAGTTGCTGGAGTGGCACAGAGGGAGCTTGCACTATTGTTATGAAAAGCAGTAAAACGAATGTTTCGTATCATAAGCAGCGAGGAAACCCATGTTTGCCTTTGCTCTTGAGCTTGTGCAAGTGAATGTAATACAATCCAGCAGATCAGCACACTGCTAACCAAAGGAAAATGTAAAATCTTGTATGTGTCATGCAAAAATGTAACTGGCTCTCCTGTTATACATTATGGGATTATTATTGTTAAGAATGGCAGAACCAGGGTATATTTCACTGTTTCTTCAAAGTGTGCTGTTTGACTTTGTAGGGATAGTTCGCTGGATTGTGTAGGTTAGAGAGTCAGGACTGGTGGCTTCCATTTCCAGCTCTGCTGTTGACTCACTGTGTGACCTAGGACAAGACACGTAGGGAGAGATTTTTAAAGCCAGAGGCCAGTTTTGCACCCACGTATAACTCAGATAGCTAGATAAATCTAAATGCAATTGACTGCACAGACAAGTATTTGTGGGTGTAATTAAAAGCTCCCCCCCCACACCTTCTGATTTTTGTCTCGCTGTGCTTCAGTTTCCTCATCTGTAAAACAAGAATAGCACTTAACTTTGGTTGCCCAGCCGTTCTGAGGCTGTGTAAAATGCTTTGAGGTCCTCAAGTGAAAGGGGCTATCCGAATGCAAAATATTGATACATGGGAGGTTTTCTTTTTAATGAAATTGTCTGTAAGACACTGCAGTTATGGAGCAGGGAACATACAGATTTGGCCAGTTTCTGCTGATTTTAGTTCACCCAGTTTGTGCACAGTTAGGTGGCTTCGCTGAAGCACAAGATTTGATTCTGCACGTGAGGTACTGTACTAGAAGGTAATGGTATCCGTGTGTGCATGGGCAGTCCAGGGAGGCAGATGAGGGGAAGCCAAAGGTGTTACGTTGGAGGAAGAAAAGGGAGAAGGGGCTGTGAAGATGGAGTTGATGCAGGTGAACATTTTTGGTATCCAAATCCCATGCAGATATTCAAGCTATCTGGTATCCATTGTTGGCCTTGTGCACATCCCTAATGGATAGATTTGATGAATTGATGGGGAGCAGTTGCTACGTAGTTAGAGTGAGGAGTTTGAAGTCAGAACTCCTGAATTCTGTTTCAGTCTCAGCTGTTTGATCTTGGGCAACACACTTCGCCTCTCTGTGCCTAGCTTACCCCAGCATATAATGATACTAACCTACCTCCCAGGGGGCTTGTGCTGTTTGTAAAGTGGTTGGAAATGCTCAGATGAAAAGTACATAGTTTATTGTTCTTGATCTCTCCATGCTGGTCACTTTACATATTGATATTTTCCCTTAAGCAAAAAAGAAAAGAAAATACAATAGACCAAATGGAAGTGCCTAGGCTAGTTTAACAGAAGTACAGTGTCCAGGCTTCAGATTTGTATGGTGCTAAGTTTTAACGTCGTGCCATTTTAAATGTACTGTACTATGCATTTTAATACCAGCTCCACAGTCACTGCCACGCCATCTGCTGCCTTTATACTACTGAATAGACAGATTGTTATCGTGGAGCAGGGAGTAGTCCGCAGCTGAGTTAGCTGAACAATGTGTTCAGCGGTAAATAGAAAGGTGAGCTGGTTCAGACCCTGACTTGGGACCCTCCGTATGCTTCTGATCCATTCACAGCAGTGGGAGCCTTTTGAAGTACCTCTCCTCCCCTCCCCCCACTGCCTATCCCCACAGCTGTCATCTCCCAGGTTCTGCTCCCTGTCCCTGCTCTGGAACGCTTCTCTAAAAGCAGAATCATGCTTTCTCTTAATGCAATAGCCTCAGGGGGACTGGAGTGAGGACAAGCCTGACAAATGGTGCAAGCTGCTTGTATGGCTGCGAAGCGCAAAGGGAAAAAATAGTGCAGTGTCTTTGAATCCTTCGATCTGTTTTTGTAAACAGTTCATCTTTACCCATTTAGCTCTGGAATTTTTAAGGCCACTGGGTTTCCCTCGTAGGCCACTGGATTTCTTCAAAGTTCAAAACTTAGGGGAGGTTTCCATGTACGCACAGGAAACAAGTGACTTATTCCTACTGCCGATCTTTGTAGGAGATTGATGTCTATGAAACTTATTTTATGTAAAACTGCCTGCACCTTTCTAAAGTGACACATGGGTCCCTAGTTGTGTCTACCCCGATCACAGTGACCAAAATTTTCAAACTTAGGTGCCCAAAGTTAAGCATCTAAACCCATAAATAAGAAGCCTGAAATTCCAAAGGTGGCGAGCAACTGTAGTTCAAAGGGAGGTCTTGGGAGCACTTCTGAAAGCGTAGGTGCTTGAAGTTAAGTTTGAAATGTAGTGTTTAGGTTGGTATTCACACACGTACTCTGTGTGTGTGTGTTGAGTTTTGAGTAATGTTCCTGGTGGTGGTCCTTATTTTATCTGCACTAGTTTATCTGATCTGTTGTTATCATGTATTATATTACCATTGTGTGGATGTTTTATATACACATATATCTGGTTTCATCTGAAAACTTAAACCCCACATGACAGCAATTGCTCCTGTGGCATTTCCAGCTTAACCAAAATCAGGTGACTTTCAAGAGAGAGACTGTTCTTGTGTAACTTTGCCACCTGATGGTCAGAACAGAGAGGTTTGGAGTGGCTTTCGGGGAAACATCCAAAAGTTATCAGGATTAACCTGGATCTTCGAACCTCTCCCATCACAAGTAATAACTTTCTTCTTGTTATATCTTAAGGCTGGATAATATTGTTAACTGCCCTCAACTTCAATATTCAGCCCTTAATTCTTATTCCCAGAGCCTTATCAGATACCACTGCACACATAAGGAGGTGTGGTTAATACTTAAATATATTGCTTGTTCTGACGGCATTTAAGAGATTCAGAAATTTAATTTTGTGATGGCAAAATCCAGGAAGAGAGAGAAACATTAATCAAATGGGTGTAATCTCCAAGGAAACAAATACTTCATTTTAATTCAGCATTTCCCTTTGATGAAAACTTTAGTGAACGTTATTATGTAGAATTTATATGAAGCTTGGGTTTAGGTAATCAGCTTTAATATTTATTCTCTTAGGGATAAAATGGAATCATTAGTAAGCATGCATAATTAATGAATAAATTATATTTTCCTTTGTTTTCCTTCAGGTATAAGGAAATGCTAGATCTAGTGATATCACCCAGCCTGACTGTAAACAGACAGTGTCCCGACAGACTGAAGCTTAACCTTTCTAACATTTATGCCACAGCTCCAGATGACATAGAAGGTAGGCTGCCTCTTCTGCTTACGGTTTATTAACTTTAGACTGTTAGCATCAGGGGTATATACAACAACAAAAGGAACTGACCAGGTATGAGGTCTGTGCTTGTAAGAATTAGTCCTTTGATGCAAGAAGCAGTTAAAATTTCTATTTGATGTTTTTGTAACAAGTCCGGTGATGTTTGAATCTGATTTGAATGCAATTAGAAATGAAATCATAGACATACATGCACATCAGAATAATGTGTGTATAAAAGTGTATTTTAAATCATCGTTGGCTGTTTTATTTTGGCCCCCACCAATCCATCAGCCCCTAAGGGTAGCATTAATTTGAACCCCGAGTCCTAGTAGTCGTGTTGCTGTTCGGAGGAGAGAAGGGTGAAAGCGCAGAGGCTGCCATTCCTAATCGCCCAGAATGCAAATAGGAACATTTTACCAAAGCGGTTGCTGTGCCACACTTCATGTCGAGCTGAGATCGTTGCTGTCATTTCTGAACAGTCAGTCCCCAGATCTGTGGTATGGAGTTTCAAGGGGCAAATTCTTTCAGTGGTTGAGGCTATGATGGAAACTTATCTGCCCTCCTCCTTCTCCTCCCCTCCCCCCGCCATCTCTCCCATTATACTGTTCAAGTGAAGGAAACAGAAGAATGTTAAATCTGTTTTTAAAATTATTGGCAAATGATGCAGCCAAACTAGTTCTCGCCAGTACAGTTCCAGCTATTGTTTGCTGTGGTCAGGATCCCTCAGCCTTCCTGTTGGAGCAGAGTTAGCAAAAGGCACTGACTATTATGTTTAACTATCGTGTTTAACTCTTTATTTGCAGGGTGTTAGAAGCCACTGTATGTTGGCTGCGTGTGTTAGAAGCCACATGTTGTATCTGTGTTTGTTGAGCCTTTAGGAATTAAGTTGGATCGAAGCATGTATAGCATGACCACCAATTCAAAAGCTTTGTTGGAAGGATCAGAATCTATAGGAAATACCTTTAAAATGTATATATTTATAGAAATGCTGGAGCTAAAACTTACAGACTCCTTGGGGCAAAGACATTTTCTTCTCATATGTCTGTAAAGTGTTACCAACTTTTATTGTGCTATATAAGAGTCATTGCAGGAAAAGCTCTGCACTTGAACACCGTTGTGCTAGTGACAGCTAATGTTAATGGATTTCTACCAGAAATATTGTAGCTATTTCTTTTTGCATGTTATGAGAAGCACCCCGAAACAACATTGTATGTTATATTCTTTCACTTGAAAATGTTACTTATTGACTTGGGGGAAATGAAAATATTTGTGCAAACGTTAGGGTGCAGATTTCCAGAGTTTCATCTGCAAAAATGGATACAAATTTATGTGCCTGAGTTTCACATGGAATTGTCACAGCTGCAAGTTCAGTTGCAATGCTTGTGCATGCAGACGTCCACTTAGCTGTCTTTGTGGTCATTTTCGTGTGCAATTGCTGTCACTGGATGTGACATCATAGTAATTGTACATGCAGATTCACCCAGAGTATGAAATCCTGAATATTTGGATCAAAATGTTTATATTTTAATTGACCTTACATTTTCCTTTAGGACACAAAGTACAAGTAATAAAAGTATCCTATTAAAAAAGGACAGTATTCTAAAGTAATGGTCCAAAACAGTGTAGTAACACGTTATACATGGACATGCATACCCCCAGAATAAGTGCCTATTTCTCATTCTGAAAGAATGTATTGAATACATATTCAGCCCTGAGCCTGCTTTTAATGTTAAAAAATATGCAGCAATAAAACAAACCTGCTGCTGTTGGGCTGTTAGTTCTCCTACCATTTTCAAACACAAAGGCATTAAAAAATGAAAAACAGAAAGGATGTATTTTACAAAAATACAGTGTTATTAGGGGAAAAAGGGTCTAGGCTATAGAAAGAGTAAGAATTTATTTTCAAAATCTAAAATCTAATTGTATTAAAAACTTTCTTGCAGGTAAGTCCAAGCAAATTGCTCATAGTGAAATCGTTGAATCAGGTAAGCCCTACTTTTTTAAACAGAATCTTTCTCCTATATCTCCTTGTCACTAATACATCTTTTTTACAATGTTTTACAAAAATGAAATAATCCTTACAGTCACACCCCAGTGTGGTAGGTAAGTATCATCCTCATATTACAGATGGAGAAACTGAGGCAGAGAGGTGAGGGCTGGGATGTTCAAAAAAGCCTCAGGGATTTAGGTGCTCAACTCCAAGGGGGATGTCCGATTCCTTTAGGTTGCTGTGAGAATCCCACCTTAACCTAAACGATTTGTCCAAGGCCATTGGAGGAGTTATTACTGTTATTTTGTTTCCATCAATACCGCCCCATGCAGTATGTGCTGTACAAAAAGATAATGTGCTATACCCTGCCTGGAAAACATTACAGTCTAAAATATGAGAGGTACAGGCAGACTAATGAGGGGTAGGACAAAAAGATGCATCATTAAATACAATGTCAGGTAGCCCAATGGTTTTTCCTTTTTAAAAGGCATAGGACCTGAGTCGACAGTTACCTTGCCATTATCAGCTGACAAGTTTCTCCTAGACATCATGGTAGGTCCTTTAGGGTGGATTTGGATGTGGAGAGGGTAGTGTCTGTGGGTTACCACAGGAAGAGCTTTCCATATGTAGCAGATAGCTTGGATGCAGATGGCTGTGGGGGCACTGAACTAAGAGTGGGGTGAAATCCTGGCCCCATTGAAGTGAATGGTAGTTTTGCCATTGACTTCAATGGAGTCAGGATTTCACTCACTGTGTCAAGGGTGACATAACTGGCAGAAGGAAGAGGGTTAGGGGAGGTGTGGAGGATGGTAGGGAGGAGTGGAATCAGGAATGGCTCTGAAGGGAAGGACAAGAAGCTGAATTAGATGCTGAAGAGGTTGGGGAGAAAGTGGCACATAGTGGGGTAGGGATTCAAAGAGGGAGGTGATACGGTCTGAGCAATTAGCAAGGAATATGATCTCAGTATCTATGCTTGTTATGTCCTGGATGGTGGAGAGGGCAGGTGATGTGTCAGGAAACCAGAAGGAAAGAGGTTACAGGAATCAAATCGGGGGGTTGAAAGACATAGGGAAAAAAAGATGTGTCATAGACATTGTGTGGGAGGGAAGTGGGAGAATCTGGGCATGTCTTCAATGTGTGGGGCAAGAGAGAGAGAGCAGTTAAAGATGACTTCAGGTTTCGGGCCTGAATGATAGGGCTTTGTGACAGCAAATGAGAAGAGTAGGGGGAGTTTCCCTAGCATCTCTGGAAAGAGGCACCTTTCCTTTAGATGCCTAAATATGGCAATAAGGATTTAAGTACAGTCACTTAAGTTCTAAAGTAGTTGACTTCTAACCTCTATAAAAACATTGACACAACTACATAAATAGATAGATAAGTAAATAATAAATAATTTGTATACATTTTGTGAATGTTGACTTTTTTGAGTAAACTTTTCTTAGACTATTCGAAACTTTGACCAAAAAAGGAATGAATTGTTCACAAAAATGTTCATAGAAATGTTCCCATCTTTTGAGCAGCTCTAATAAATAATTATTTTTCAGGAAATGCATCTGTTTAATCATTTGTAGTAATAATGTTATTGAAGGAGAATATACACATTTAAAATTTAGAAAGAGAATAATTTCCCTTTTAATTACTATTAATAATAATTTTGTTTTTCAAGTACCCATTCCACTGCTAACATGTTCATGGCTCCCCATAAACAAGGAAACAGAAAAATTACAATAGATACAAATAATTTTTAATTAAGTCTGTAATTAAAAAATTCCATTGGGTTTAATGTCTTTTTTCTTAATACCTCAATTTAATCCGAATTTTAGAACAAGAATGATAAAACCACATAAACCACCATGAAAAAAGCTGGCGGCGAGGGGGGGGGGGGGAGGATAATTTAATTTCCAGGAGAGAGCTGGAGAGGGGACTGGGAAAGATGAATCTTTTATATAACAGCATGCTGTATATTTTGGAAATGTTCTCTCTAGATTAATGGAATGACAAGTTACTTGAGCCCATAGGATTATTTCCATATATTTAGAGTTTATACATATTTCCATATTTCATTAAATAAAACATGTTTAAAATGTTTAATTCACTAATTTATGCATCACTGAGCACACTGAAGTCGTATAATTTTAGGTGACTTCCTAATGAGGATAATTCTCTTGTAGCATTGCGGGTGTGTCCTAGCTGATGCATTGGATTGTGCTGCAGATGCTTCCTGCCTCCTGTGTCACATGGCAACTTGCATGCACTGGGAGGCACTGCAGGTGCCCCCTCTCTGGTTTGTGGGGCCTGCAGTGCAGGTGCGTTCTGTTCTGCCTGACAAGTTGGGTGAATTATGAATCCTGCATAGCAAATCGCATAGTAATGCCAGCACTGGGGCTGCCCCTGTAATGTAATGGTCATGCGTGTTCTCCCTGACACGTTAAATGACGCTGGGCTATATGACATTAGATGTGCACTCCCTGGCACAGTGTGCAGTTAGCCTGGCATGTTGGATAGCACTGTTGACATCAGGAACATGGTAGACGTGTCCTGCCTGACATTACTGATTATGATTTATTGTTTATAGTGCTGTAACATCTGAAGGCCTCAATTAGGAATTGGGACCTAGCACGTTGGATGGCATTGTTGAAGCATTCTGCTTAGTACACAAGGTGGCATTGTGAGTGCACCCCAATGCATGTGTGTCTGGTATAGCAGGACACACTGTTGTGTGTCCTGCTGAATGCATGCCTGTGGCATCAGGCAACTCAGAAGTTAACCTAACAGGTTTTTTTTTAGTCTTAATTAAACCTAAATTTGCCTCTAAAAGAGATTTTATTGATTTTCCTGGATATAAACATATGGTGCGTGGGAAGGCAACCTATGTGTGTTCATTTGTGTTACCAGTTTTCAGTGCTATGCTAATATTGTAATCAACGGGCTAGGCAATAATTGTCTTCCAAGATCCAGTACAAGGAGAGATGAAAACTTAAAGAACCTTTGTCCTGATACATTTTAAAAAAGTGGGACACCGAATGGTGGGAATACAAAAGAAATTTTAAAGACAGAATATGGTGTGTTGTGTAAATGTCATTTCACAACTAAAGAGGTTGCTTTTGCAACCCTTGTCACATGAGTAGTCCTATTGATATCATGCATTGCTGAGTAGTCAACATGGGTAGTGGTAGTGAAATCACTGGGACTGCTGATGGCTGCAGAACTGGGCCCACCATCATTATGTGGCTCCATACTTACATCAAGAAAAACCCGGTAGATTAGTCAATCAATTGATAGGTTCCTGGGTGCACATAAAGCTGATTTTATTTATTAGCATTAAAATGGAAAGTTACCATGTAGTTTCTCATAATTGCCTTAAAAGTCTTTGAGGATTTCAATACAAATATTCGTTTAGTTATTGTATACATTTCTGTGTCTAGCAATGATCAGAACAGTGGCATCAACTTAGCCATATAACAGAATGTTACTGAAAACCAGAGACACTTTAATTTTGTTTTTCAGGTAACAAAGCAGCATCACAGTGTCCTCTCCATCTCTACTCCACAGAGTGAGTGTGTCTGACAGCGTTCAAGTACTGTAGATTATAAACTTTGTTTTGCTGATTAACCATTTTGATTAACCATTGCCCCTGCAACCTTGAAAAGCCTGAAGAACATGATCCTTCAGCCTTTGCACCTATTCTACTGCAAGTCGCAGGCCAGATCTGCCCTAGGAGCCCCTGGCTGGCATAGCTATACTGGTATCCTATCCCAGCAAAATCACCCCTAGTGTAGATGCTGTTATACCGGTGAAGCTTCTTGTGCTTTTGCCAGTATAGCTTATTTCCCTCCACACACACTCCACCCCCCGAGCCAAATAAACTATACAAACAAAAGTACAGTTTTAGCAAGATGCTGTATTAGGGGCTTTTGCCAGCACAGCTATGTCAGTCAGAGAACTCCTCACCACACCCCTGACCAATATAGCTGTGCCTTCAAACGTTTGTAGAGTAGACCTGGTGTTAGCCCCAGAAAACCATTTCTTAATCAAGTTGGACAGGGAGTCAAAGAGACTTGGAGGTTCTCCATACAACTCATTTCTACCCCGGGAAAGCAGATCTTATCATTTTGAACTTAGGATCATTTATAAGTGACTACAGAGGAAAATGTGACATTTCAAAGGTTTCCAGGAAACTGGATTATTTTTGTGACTTTGAAATGAAACCTGAAAATCACAGATTGCAACAATTTTAAAAAGTGACAAATATTTTGTGCAGCCCGAGGTTATAGCACTGACCAAGCATTAGGATGGCATTGTGCCCTCTCACTTAGTGATATCTCTGTAGCCCACTGCCAGAAGTGAGGTACTTGAGCAAATAGTCTGACCCAGTGTGGCATATTTTATATGCCTATAATATGTAGCATAACACCACGTGTAGCCATTCTAGTCAAATATGTCACTGGAAGATTTTGCAGCCAGATTAGTGAGATTACTCTGGAAAACCATATACGATTAGTATTGCCATAGACAGCCTGTTTTCTTGTTCTGAACAGACATCATCCCCATATAGTGACAGTCCCATCTTTTCCAACAATGGCAACCTATGGACAGACCCAGTACAGTGCAGGAATCCAGCAAGCCGCTACTTACGCTGCATACCCTCCACCAGGACAACCTTATGGAATACCCTCCTACAGTGAGTAATCTTACTTTGTTAGGTTATCTCTAAGAGCTTCTGCTTTCACTAGAGAATGTCTTATTCTTCTGACCCAAAAAGAACATACTTAATGATTAAACCTTCCAGTCAAAAACTCTTTAATTCTATAGTGGCTGGGGTTTTTTCCTTTTCTTTTGTGGCTTGGAGAAAAATTCAGATTTGTCAAAAGTTTTAGAAAGACTTTCCTCTGTACTCTCCAGATATTCAGCTCAAGTGGAAAGGCACATACTAGCCTGAGTTATAATCCTATAAACTAAGTAGAGTTGGACCAGGGCAGCAGCAGAATAGGAGATATCCTGGAAAAATCCAGGTGCTGCAAAGCATGACAGTAGGGAGTCAGTAGCTGGTGAAGTTTCCTGTGACTCAGTACTGAGCCCAGCCTTCTAGAAAGTGCTTTTCTCTTGGAGGTACCATCTTTGTAATAAGGCTCTGACCACTTGTGACCATTAGAGACCTTGGGGTAAATCCTCAACTGGCACAAACTGGCATAGCCTCACTGGACTGCAGTGGGAGCTATGCTGCTTTACATCAGCAGAGGATCTAGACCTGTATGTCCAGGCTTGCAAGATTGGGAGGGAAGGTGGGGTGGTAAAAAAAATCTACTTTTGTAAACTGTGCTTTGTCTCCCTACGTTCCCTTTGCAGTTTCAGTTACATGGGCCAGTCTTCATTTCCTTCCTAAAAACTTGTGTGTATCACTGATGATACAGAATGCTTGTTACACTGCAGATGAGTAAATTTAACAAGTGGTGGGTGAAATGATCTCTGTACTACACAATGCTTTGTGATTAGAGATACTAATACATTTGCAAGGTATTATTATTAAATATTGCATATATATTCTAAATGTAAATACAATAAATGTTTTCAGACATACAGTATAGTAAAGATAATGGAAAGCAGATTTTTTCCTGAGGCTGTCTTACCATTTCAACATCTAAGAATCTGTTCCACCTCCTCTGTGTGTGCAAATTGTAGGGGAGCCAGTCTCCATTCTGTGTAAATTGATGTCATGTGAGATCTATTTAGTGGGTTTGATTATTTTCAGTCACACTATAAAGCTTCAGTAGATCTACTTGCTACTGGAATTGTGCTATTCACATGCTTATAGCATACTCAGAGTTGACTGTAAATAAGACAAAATGATAGAGGTGCCTAAACAACCAAAGTCTGGGTTAGTAATTCAGGTTGGATAAAATTAGAACCAAGGGTGAACCATCACCCAAATATGTTTTTGAGGTTCAAATATATTTTTCACAAAACTGGTTTTCATAGCCCCCTGTGGAAATCCCTAAAATCCTTCAGGGAAAGATTCTTCCAAGGAAACTTCTTACGCAGTTTTGTAGATCAAAGAGGTTCATGTCATTTAGCTATGGCTTGGAAACGGTGGACATCCAGTCTTGTGGATGCTTATCCCCAGCTGAAACCGTGAGCCCCTTTTGGGTCATTCAGTACTACCCAAAACTGCTGTGTGGTTTTGTTTCCAATCCTACAGTCAGTTTTGACAGTCTTTGAGCTCCCATGCCCTTGTTTATTTGGTAAGTACAGTATTGCTTCCCAACATATAGCCATAAAAACACAAACCTGTTACACAGCTATTGACAAAGTTTTTAGTTCAGGAAAACTCCAACCTAACAATCTGTGAAAGGTCTGGGTAACAGGCTTGGGAAAGTAAAATCTATCATGACGATTAGAGGAATGTTTTGAGTTGATTTTCTGGAATTACAAACACAAATGTATCAGCTGGATGGTTTCCAAGGCAAACTCTGAACAGTTGTCCCTGTTAGAGCAGGTGAAAATATGGCCATTTGCTACTGGCTAGCGTCTTTAGGGCACACACATGTCAGGCCCGCATACTGCTTATAAATCCTGTAGATTACCTATTACCATCCTTGAAGAGTAGTTTCCCTCCCTTGCCCCCACCCTCAATAATATATATGATACTGTATATGAGAAATCCCACCTGGCTGACGACCAAGAACAATGAAGCAGTATTGTTTTTAGACACAAAAAATAAAACTAGGCCAGTTTCTAGACAAAACAGAGCATTGTGTGGAAATTAATTTGGTGCTAAGTTATTTCGCTGTCTGACAACAATTTTTAGGCTTCCAGAAAGGCCCAGTCACTGAAGATTAATTGTGATCAGGGCTGTAATAGGTTGAGTGTTCACATGCATGGTGCTGATGTAATTGAAAAACAAATGTGATGTTATGAAAAACAGTTTCTCTTTGCGCACACCCACAAACCCCCTAGCAGACAGGCTCTACCAGCAATAAGGGAGCCTGACACCTACCACAGCCCGCACTTGCTCATTGTCCAAACAAATTTCCTGGGTTTCAGTATGGAATGTTGTTATCCCATTGGTAATCTGCATTTAAATTGCATGCATTTCATCTAACATTGATTGTTTCTCCTTAGAAATACGTGACTTTGTCCCAGGAGAAGCTATTCAGTAAAATTTACTCCCACCCTCAGTGAGTGCAGACTCACTGTGCTTTCTCACATTGAAGGAATTGGCCAAGATAGACAGCAACAACTTGGTTGGCTGAAGCCAAATTAATTTGATGTTGCTTTGGATGGTTTGCCCAGAAGTGCACAAAAATGGCAGCAACCTGGGCAGCTCATAAATCCAAGAGCAGACCATCAATAGTCTCTTTGTTTAACCATGGCGCTCAGGGTGTGTTTTGTGACCATATTTTGTTTTGTGCAAATACACATGCAAAGAGGCAGAGGACCAGACCCAAAAGGTTTGTAAAAAAGACACACCTTTCAGCTATTTACTTTAAAAATACAGCAGCATGATCTCAGCAGGCCCGGGTGATAAAATATCAGACCCTTTCACTGCCTGCGAAGGTTCCATCTTGCAATGTTAAATTCAGTTAGTGCTGCTCCTTCTGTGATTTGACATGCATTTTAATTGCCTGATTTTAGTACCAAGGAGATTTTGACTAGGGATTTGTGCATTGCTCAGCTTTACAATTATTAACTATATGTGACTATCTAGTGTTCACACCTAACTGATATCCCTCCAATATGACTTGCTGACAAATATTGCGTTATCTCATTCTAAATGGAGCTGATGAAATAATTTAATTTAAAAAAATCTTTCAATCATGAATGTTTACGTGAATAGAAGTAACTGAGTTTAGTTTACTATAATTCATGCGATCATGTTGTTAGCAATTACCAGCATTCTGAGAACCCCTCAGTATGTTCATAACTGCAAAAGTTTAATGAAGTTTGGCGCAAGTGTTTAGTTGTCCAAAAAATCTTTCTGGAAAGTGGATTACTTGTTATTTTCCTGTCTTTAAGTTAGTCATCCATTCAGAGAACAGAAACTGTATCATGGCAACCAATCACCCAATAATGACTACTTAGTATAGTTAACACAAATAGTTTGTGGTGAACATATAGGCCATACGTTATTTCAGAAAAATATTTGGCTAATGCTACTAGTGAATAATGAAAATGTTTTAAAAAATTGGGATTTGTTACCTAATAAAAAAGGTTAAATCCAAACTGAATATTAAAAACAATAGTTTGATCAGTGTCAACTCTAGCTAAAATGTCAAAGGCATTGAAATTTTTTGTTATACCTGTATATGATGAGATCAAGCAGAACCCTAACATTGTGCGTTTGATTCCTTTTATATCCTCCAAAGGCATCAAAACAGAAGATAGTCTGAGCCATTCTCCAGGACAGAGTGGGTTTCTTAGCTATGGATCCACCTTCAGTACCCCAACAACAGGACAAGCACCGTACACCTACCAGATGCATGGTCAGTAGGGCTAATTTTCTTGCAGTTTATAGTCTACTAAGGCCTGCAGCTCCGAGCACCAGGCAGTAAAATCAGGTTTCATCTGTTGGAAGTATGAAGAAAAACAGGAGAGTACCAAATTGCTGTTATTTTGATCTGAAATATGCTGAGTGTGGAAGAACCATTTTCAATATTGACAACCCCAAGTGTTCATGGATGTGAGTCAGGCTCCAAAAATCAAATAATGAGATTGGCTTTAAAAGCTTGAGATTTTTACACAGCTTTGGGTCACATTTTCAAGCTTTTCTTGACAATTATGAGGGGAGGGCCAGAAATTTTCTCCACTCCCACACATCCAGTAAAACCTGAGTTTCAACCTAATCACTTTGACTCCTGGAGCAGGGGCTTTTAGAGAAACACCAGATATCATGAGACTTCCAGATATCATAAGACTCACAAGGGTTGGTAACACTGCTTTTTATTTGTTGGTTTCAATGTGGAGTCCTAAGACTCATAAAGTACATTAAAATATTGGAATTTAATTTGTGATTTTTTTGTTAGCCCATTTTTTTGATGAAGTGGAATTTGATTTTTGCTGAACATCTTGGTGCTATCAGTCAGATACCTGAATTGGAAGTGGTGCACTTCCAGTATCTTTCTTGATACTTTATATATTCTGTCTGCTTTATGCTGTGGCATTTGCAGCCCCTGACCTTAGTGAATAGTATTAATTTTCTAATACTTCCTTGTGTCATTCACCAAGAGGATGGGGGATGTGTTCTCATTTTCAAAATCCTTACAGGAAGCAAAAAAATGTGGAGGAGGGCAATCTGCACTACAGTTTGGGTTATGCAATAGCTCTAATAATCTGGATCTAAAAGTGCTTGCCCAGAAAACATTGCAGGCAGTGGTGATTAGATCTAATGTACTGGCAGCTGGAGAGTGAAATTATTGTGGCATATTTCCTGTTCTATGTACCAGTGCGCTGTTGCTTTTTACAGTGAGGGGCATAGAGTGTAGGAGCTGATTAGTGTGTTGCTGATATAAAGTGGGTCATTTCATTCCTACACATGAAGTAATCTAAAATATCCAAGGGGAGAGTAGCTTCATTTTCACTTAGAGTAGTGACACACCAGTTTGAGTCCAATATGAAGGTTGCACTGAATTGGACAGGATGAAAAAAAGTATTTTCTCCTCCTCTCCTGGAATTTTGTCCTTCACTAGACTTCAGTGCACCTACATTTTACAGTGCCAGTGACTTCTCTGTGATGTGAAGAATTGGGACTAAATGAAACTAATGAACATTAAGGGACTGATGCTGAGAGGACTTGTGATCTATATGCAAAATATTTCTGCTGTTTCTTAGCCTGTGCAAGCTTCAAAAAGCCAAGGGTGTGGGCTCTGTGGGAGGCTGAGTTATAGAAGGGAAAGGATAAGCATTTAGAGAGTCAGAACAAACCACTCCAGGATTCAACTGGGAGAGGGAAAGCAAAATACAAAGGATGATAATGATTTGCACTTATCTTGCCCCTTTATCTGAGAGTCTCAACACATTTTAGAAACTTAACCACAGAAAAGTTAAGTGACTTTCCCAAGGTCACATAATCAGTTAGTGGTGGAGAGGAAAGAGAACCCACATCTTTTGTCTTCCAGTCCTTTCTTTTGATCTCTAGACTATGGCCTTGTTGTGGCCACAATGCCCTTTTCTGTTTACAGCTAAACTACCCACGGACAGGCTGCAAAGAAAGAGGAAGGGAATTGTTTTCCTGCCCATCCGTGAAGGGGTGGACGGACACACTGAGTTAACTTGTCCTCTGGTCTGCTTTATTTTTCTTCTTAAATTTAAAAAAATCAAACCCTAAATAGACATATAACCGTAAACAGATTTTTTTAAAATTTAGATATAGTAATAATCTACGGAAGTTGGGAAGGGAGAGGTGATCCTGGGCTCAGATGTCATATGCTAAGATTATCAGAGCCAGTTTTCATTGTAGGGTGCTACTACACCCCTTAGAGTATGGGGGCCAGCAGAAACTGATGAATCCTTAACCACAGTAGCACTGGCAGGACATACAGGAGCACTGGGGGAACTGGCTGTAAATATCAGCCTCATCTAGTACTTGACCCAGAGCCCACTGAATCAACGGAAAGACTCCCATTGACTCAAGCAAACTCTGGATCAGGTTCACACTGGGGCATTTGGAGGAATCCAGAATGAAGTTATCAACTGCTAATCACATCCCTGGAAGCTATATATTTATTCTGCCCTGAAATGTAAAGGATTCTTCCTGACCATCCTTGTCACTGGATTAATGGTTGCTTCCACTTTCTCCTTTCTGCATCTCAGTCTTAAAATAACTCTTAACAATAAGGTTCTGCAATAAGGACCCTTCTTTCTGTGTATCGTTGGAAAAGCATCCCTTTGTTCTTACCATCAGCTCTAGATATGGGAATGTCGTGGGCTGAGTGCAGCTTCATCTGGGTCAGGAAATGCTGGGCCTGATGTCCCCTTGCAGCAGTAGCAGCTGTACTGTGTCCCAATTAACTTCAGTGAGATTTAATGCTAATGGCTGTAAAACTGCTATTGACAAAGTACAGGCATTTTCCAATGGTGTCTCGTAAGGCGGGTAATATTCCTGCCCACTTTTTGTTTCCTCAGACCTTTTAGAGGGTCTGCACATGTGCTTTGTATTAGCTACAAAAATCTGAGTTGTTTTGGAAGGTACTCGTTACTCACTTGGGACCAAGATTTTCAAAGATGGCCTCTCTTTGGGCAATCTGGAGATTTGTATGAATCTTGTGCACTATCACTTGTGAATGCAAATACTGGATGCTACTTGTCCAAAACTACTGACACAGGCAAATAGTGTAAATTATACTTAAAATGAATTGGAAAGAACTTCATGCTTGTCTGCACACACAGAAGTCTTTCAAGTGTCCACTGTGTCAATGCTGTACAGTTAGATCGTTTCACAATGCTTTAGTGGTGTCCCCAGTTGGACAGTTTCAGGCAGCCTCTTAAAGCCGGTACTGTAAAAAGAGTTTTTATAGTGGCAGGTGCTGGTCCCCAGTAAAACTGTCCAGGAATAAATAAGCTGTTTCCCCTTGTCCTAGCTGCTCAGGAGCACAAGGGCTTTAACCTAAAGTTTATTTACCTTTCCTGAGTGCTGGTGAAAGGTTTGGCTGGGATGCTCTGAGCCTTCCTGCCCCAATTGCTACTGAGGAATGTGCACTCCACGCTTTCCCACGCTAGTGCTCCTGGGAGGGAGGGGGTGAGGGCAGATTGTTTTCTCTCCCTGACATTAACAAGTGACTTTCCACGCTCACTCTGTCTCCAGGACCTTATTGGATCTCTTCCCAGCTCAGATCAGTCCCGCTGGTCACCCTGCTGTTGAGCCCACAGAGTGAGTCAGGGTGATGGGCTAAAACAGCTGAAAGTACAATTTATTTATTTACTTTTTATAAAGCCAAAGCTCAGGAGGGCTTTAAAAGTCAAACTCTCAACTCTGCATCAAGGACAAAGTATTCTACATCATTTTAAAAGAGAAAAGGGCTCTTCAAAGACAGTGACACATGCACGACTATGATCAGGAAAGGTTCTTACAGCACCCCATGTTGGACAGTTCTGCATTTTAATTTGTGAGAAAAATAGTTCTCCTGGGAAAAGATGTAAAATTACTGAAATATATATAGTGCAAATGTGTAAATGAATTAGCTTCAACTGTGATTTCCCGGATTTAGGGCTGACTTCCCATTAATATTTTAGCAAATGAGTTTATGAGCGGGAGTGTTTGGTGAAACCATGAACTCTAAGCAAATCGTGCAGAATTGACACCATAACACTGGTTCTAAGAATTACACACATCCCTCCAGGGAATAGGAGCATAGCATGGATGTATTGTGCCAATCAAGGTTGTAAAAAATGCCATCATGAGCTCCACATGCTTTGTCTTACCGTGACTCTAGATCACATTTTCTCAGGTCCCAAGTTAAAATTTTGGGTTTTTTTTTCCCAAATGCCAGCACAGCCTCAGCCTGGGATAATGAGAAGCAAGCCAGAATCTCTCCTCCTTGTCCATCATTATAAGTAATAAGGATTCTTGAAGCCAAAATCTGCTCTCCCTGTGCAATCTCATTAGACATTGTTATAGGGCAGAATTTGACTTTTCGTTTGGAACTCCAGATGCCAGTTGTGTGCATGATGTGCTAGTAGGAGTAAAAAAATAATTTTGGTCACTGAAGATATGCAGAATAAGAGGGACACTATTCTGAAGACATAGTGGGGGAAACCCAATGTAATAGAAAAGGTGGGCCTGGCCCCTGACATGAAAATAACCCTAATGTGGTGCCAGTATCCATATGCTAAATATCTGATACCGTGTGACACATATATGTAAAACATAGGGGATAGGACTAAGCAGTTTCACATCTTGCAAACATATGGCATAAAATGAAATATATAACAAAGATATTTTAAACTGAAATCTCTTTTAATGTAATTGCACTGTAAAAAAATCGATCTTAATGTGTGATCAATCTTTGAATTATATGGCTACACCCTGAAACTTTATATTTGTTCTAAAATAGTGAATTTATGTAACTGGCATATAAATTTACATGCAACAAATATCTTTGTGAAAATAAAATGTTTTTCATGATGAAGGAAATTCAAGAACACACAGATAGGAAAATGGGAGAGACCAGGATATGTGACTGATTTGGGGGTACCAGTTGCTCCCAGGGCAATTTCACATGAAAAGAGGAGGGAGCGCCTTGCTTTAGACCCTTTTACTTTCAAGGTAATGTGCCCTAGTGCTCACTAATTGAAATCTCTAATTAAGGTGTTTATGCATGAAGGAAACATTGCCTTAGGCCTATACCATTCCCTCAGTGGACCTGCATCTAGGCACACACCTTCGGTACTGACTCCCAGAAAGATTAGAGAGACAGGGCTGGGTGGGATAATCTCTTTTATTGGAACAACTTCTGTTGGTGAGAGAGACAAGCTTTCCAGCTTGTCC